TTCATTTTAGAAACTGTGCAAAGAAAGTATTTCCAGATATTTTATCAAAAATGTTGAAAGAATAATTTTTATTAATCAAAATGCTACTTTCAAAGTATCATTAAATACTCGTTCCAAAAAATATATATTATAACCTTATTAAATCTTATATTTTCATTTTTAATTATCAGATGTTCTTATGAGTATTTTCTACAAATTCAAGCACTTAAAAATATAATTAGAAAAAGAGAATTGCAATGGATAATGTTTTTTTTCGAGAAATATTATAAAAAATACTAAACGTTGATTATTTTATATTTTTTTTCATATAATGTGTATTCTGATCTAAAAATCCACAGTCTTGTTATGAGGTTCGCTGTCGCACTATCGTTCTAGTCGTCGACCACTACTACTCGCTCACCGACTTTATTCCACTCCTAATTCCATCCTTCAAAGGCAGCACATGCCGATCAATTCGCATGCATCATAGAATCAAAGCAGTGCTACATGTACTGTACAATTCTAGCACCATAATACTACGCTACTAATTGTATATGAATCTGCCGTACTGTAAGGCCAATTACGCTAAATAACAATATTCAACGGTACGCTGCATATCAAATTAATGAAACGCAGCTGCTTTATCAGAATTGAAATTAGGTGAACTGTGGTGATGGATATTTACAAATCTTATATAGACAAGATAGAAAACGGAAGTTTTATTTATTCATTTAATTATTCTATATATAAAAGTTTGTTTATTAATTATGTTTATTAATATATTATCTACAACAATTTATTATAGTTGCAATTAAGTTTATTATATTGATAGACATTTGCAAATATTATACAAACGGTATTTATTTAATCTTTAATATGTGTAAAGGAGAGTTTTCTATCTATAAAAATTATCTATTAATTATATTTAATAATTTGTTGTCTACAACGATTTATTATAATTGCATTTAGGTTTATTATATTAATAGATATTTACAAATATTTTGCAGGTGATATTTATTTTATTTTCAATATATGTAAATGCAAATTGCCTATCTATAAAAATTATCTATTAATTATGTTTAATAATATATTGTCTACAAAGATTTATTTCAATTACGTTTGTCATATTAATATACATTTAAAAGTATTTGTTTTGTCTTCAATATAGACAAACGGAAGTATTTTTATCTAAAAAATTTGAGGTCGAGGGTTGTTGTGAACAAAATCATCGATAGCAAATTATATGTATAGTTATCGGCAGTTTCTCTACTTAAATTTTTTTATTAAACTAACACACACTGTTCTCTAATTTTTTTTAAGTAACACCGTAAATGTTTCAAATATTCAACTAATTTAATATAATATCAGTTCTCTTTGAAATCAATTTAAAATTACTTCCCATAAAACAGTGTTAAGAACCATTATTCTTTCATCTTGATGAATATTTTATGGTACAAAATTTTGTCAGAAGATTTATGAATACTGTACATATAGACGAGAACGGTGTGAACAGGAAAGCATCTTTAGCTACAAACTGAAGTTAAAAATCCTTAATAAACTACATACCAGAAGAGTGTACCACCACTACTCTGAAGTGCTCTTTCATGAAATATGAGTACTTTTTACCGCGTCACATAATAAATTGCAGTAATTTTAAATTACCTCAATATAAATCACTCCTTTTCGAAAAGAGAAGTTTTGTTTAAAAATATTTTTATATTTTTCCCAACATTAATCAAAAATGCATAATGTGTACATTATAATACGTATGCCTTTTTATATTGTAGAATATAAACATAAAAAATAAATATCTGAAAGTATGTAGATATTTTAATATGAAATTTTCAATAATCCACTCTCAGATAAGAATAACTATTTTTAAAAAGTGTATAATTAACATTTTAATTTATCACTTCATTGCAATATTGAAAAATACAATAAATAAATACATTTTAATGAAACTGTCATTTCGTTTTTATAACAATTAAAAATTAACCAGCATATCATTCTATCGTTATGAATTAATCCAAGTAAATAAAGCGACAAATTAAGATCTGTGTCTAATAATAAAATAAAATGTCTTCGTATCTTACTAAATAATTTGTATACACATAACTGGCTTACGACTCCATTTTGATGTAACATATTAGGTACCGAAAAAAATTCGTGCGGTATTTTTATTTTATTTTATTTTTATTCCTAAATCAATTTCTGTCCGATTTGAATTAAAATTTCACTAGTTTAAGGAATGAAATTGATATTGGCAGCAAGTTATGCTTATGCCGTTGGTATTAAACAAAATAAAATTATTTTACAAAAACGTTCCCTGTGTTCAAATTTTGATTTAAGACCTCACACGAACTTTTTCCAATACCTAATACAATCGCAGGAGAAAATAACTAACTTGTCATACGAATTTTCGAATGTCCTATTGTAAACAGGAAACACATTCGAAGTTATAAGGGAGAAAAGACGAGCTCAATCGAAGTAGGTACATATAAGTGAAGAAAGTTATTGTTAGTGTGCGATAGACACCTATTCGCTTTCTGTAAAGTATTCGTGCGATTTCCAAAACTTTAAAACGTAAAAAATACGAGTTTGTTATCCAAAGTTTTCTTTATTCAAAAACAATACATCTACAATGTAAGTTCTTAAAAATATTATAAACAAGTTTAATTTATATGTATTCGACACTGTAGACTGTACTATTTATGTATCTCAAATAATTATGTGTTTTGTTATACAAGTTGTAACAGTTAGATTCTACAATAAGATCCTAGTTACATTCTAAAGTAAATTTATAGCACATTCTGAAATATGAAAACAACATCGTGTTTAAAAAAAATGAGGAGCTGAATGACAATCATAATAGTCAAAGTACCTTAAATATATGGACAAAGTGTATACATCTAATATTAATAATATATAATACTACAGAATAATGTATAATTTTACAGTAAAAAAATTCAAACAGTAATTTATTACAATGTAATAAAAATTCATTATCTAATTGATTACATGCACTTAAAATTTCGTCTTGCAAAAACTGCTAGAAAATTTCAACTATAACAACTTTGTTTACAATGCAAAAATAAAAATTTTAGTTTATATATTTTAAAATGTATGGTTATACAGAAAAATTAATTATTAAATGGTATCCCAAGAATAATTAATGTAAACAACTTCGTTCAAAAACAGAATTTTTCTGTTATTTAAATATTATTGAACGTGGCATAAGTAATTAGTTCGGATAATTGAAATTCTACTGTACATTTTCTACTAGATTTTTATTTGCATAAAATAGTTATCAAAAATTTAAACTCTCATCAAGGTTTCCAGCGTATAAATAACATTTTTAACAATGCTATTTATATAACTTAAACGAACAACAAAATACATATTAAAATATTCTGTTAGAATTCTCTGATCTTTCTAATTTCTGGCAAATATTTCGTTGGAACACCTTAATTCAGATAATTGTTCATCCTTCAACGTTACAAATCTGGAAAATTCACATACGATGAATTTTATGAAATTCCATGCTGCAGATACGTTCAAAAGAAAAAACTAATTTTCGACTATTTCTATAGAGCCAAATGTCAGTAGAATCGCTTTCTGTCAAGGTCCCGGTTCATGCAAGCTCTAAAACTTTGACGAGGTAATCTACTTTATCCTCCCAGTCCTCCTACAAAAGTCCCAGTGTGATCATTTAGAAGGAGCAGATAGGTACCACTTTTTAATGGTGTCCATTCAATTGAAGCAGTCTCTCACAGATTTACTTAAATTCAAAGAATATTACTAATATAGTCATTCATAAAATATTCTGTAACTGTTAAACGTTGAACATACTTCCTATCTCAAATATATTGCATAATATATTGAAAATAAGTCCATTACACATTTTTCTTTCTACTTACATATTATACTGATATACATTCCAGAACTCTAAGTCAGGTAAATGTGAATAAGTACAATATAGTAATGTACAATTAGATTATAAAACGAATAAATAATTTACATCTTTACTTACAAATAGGTACTGACTATAAAAAATTATTTTATATAACATATTTGATTCAATTCGAGCTGATTTTAAGTGTCAGTAAAATAATGAAAATAAGAAAATACTTTCTAAGTCATTTACAATATCCTTTTTATATAATGAATTTATTTATATACTGTATAATCATCATTCTGTTTAATAATTCATAACAAATTTCTAATACGCACAATGATTACTTTTAATTAACACACTTAAATTTATAAAACTATTTAATCATTTTTGGATCTTAAAAATTCTAAGACCTGAATGCTATAATGATTTTTATTTTTGTTGTTTTCGTGCTGTGCCATTCATTATATCGTACAAAAGAATTCATTCGTTGGAATACTAATAATATATCTAAAGTAATTTAATAAAGTGGTAATTTTGTTACATTTTACGCTGATACGTCTAGTAAAGTAAAAGTTTATGGTTGATTGTAGACGTATTTGTGACTGTCGACATTTCCACTTAACGAAATAACGACTTCTTCCGGTGGATCCGTTACGCGCTAGGTAATCCTTAAGTAACACTTACGTAAAGGAAATGGTATCTAGTTAAATGTATTGAAGTACAAATCATCGTTTTAAATTAAAAACATTTCCTTTGGTCAAATGAAAGTTATCATCCGACTCTGATGGAGTTTCAGTTTCTTTGGGAAGCCATTGTGCTTTCTATCCAGGAAATTGAAGTACTCGTGAAGTCCACATTTTTCTTTTACAACAGATATGTCGAATCATTACAAGTAAAGAATGTCGTTCTAAATACCGAAATATTATTTTACATTAAAGCTGATTTTTTGTTTACCTATTTTTATGTAAATAAAAACCTAACTAATAGTTTTACCCACAGTATCATATAAATCTTTTATTTTTTGACTATGTACTTATATATAAACATTTTATTATTTAATTATGAAACATGAAAATATTTCCAATGAATTTGATTATAATAATTATATTTTTCTCTTTTTACGCAGCCAACACTAGCCAATACGCGCATTACGTTTTTAATACCTTGGACCAGGATCATAGTGGTATTCTCAGCTTCGAGGTAAGTTCCTTCTTCTTGATATTACGTACTTTCAGATTGAATGTTTAACACTTGTCAAGTTAAAATAATCTTATCCTAGAAATATAGTATAAAATTAAGTACTAATCATGGCTAACGTGCAAATAAAATGTTAAAAGACATGGAATATGGTATGGTTATATAAAATTCCCCAGTAACATTAAATTTTATTAACATAATTTTTGTTGCATTAGATACAGGTTACGTATAAACATAGATTAAGAGACAAAAACGATATTATTTAAACAAGATTGAATTTTAGTTATAAATTCCATCATGTTTTTGCTGAAACTAAAGTAAAATCCCAATTATTGTATATCCTTGAGTTTGAAATGTATTATGCTGAACATCAAAACATCACGACAAAATATATTCCTCTGAACACTTTAAACGAATTTGTTATTATTTTTGGATATAATAATAAAACACTCAGCATAAAAATGATAAAAAAACAATTTATTTAATGACTTACATACACTTCACAGCATGTTTTCGCAAGCCCTCATTTTCAATTACTTCAATCACCATTCTCATCAGAGTATAATTACTTATCGTTTGTTTCTACTGCTGTTATTTCAAACAGAATATATTATGAATTCGCAGAATGTTAGTAGTATTTGCACCGAACACTGCCCGTTCCATAATGCAATCAAACACTTCTCCCTGCGTGTCGATTGTTATATTACCCGTTTCGCAGTTGCAATGCATGCACCGAACGCATCGTTCGCGCCTTGTGCAATTAGTTCGTCGTACAATCGAATAGGCAAGTATGCTCCAAACAAATATCCGGCGAAGATTAATGCTAATTATCCGGTCTGGTGCCGATAATGAGCAGCCTAGACCTAACTAAGTTTTCCAATCAATAATCACGGAGCAAATTAATCGATGATTTGCGGTTAATTCGCGGATCGATACTCTTCCCCCTTTCTCTCCGCGTTCGCGATTTCCACTGGAGAAATAAAAGGATCGGACAAGTCGTCGAGGGATAATTACGAACGAACACAATTATCTCTCGTAGCTTCAGACTGAAAATGTACTTTGTGTAATTAGCCTTCGAGTTGCTTCAAACTCGCGCATTACCGTGGCTCTCTCTGCACAGCGAACATTTTCCTCACTCATTCTTCTCCTCTACTTTTGTGCACGATAAAGTTTTTACACTCAGACCTTTGATCTCGAACTCCATTTAATTAAGTCTTCCTATCAGATTCTCTACTAGACAGCCTGTTTGTAAAATAATATACGTCAAGGTTTAAAAGTAAATGTTATAATCGCGTGGTAATTATTATAACGTTTTCATACAGACACACACACACACACATATATAAAGTCTTATATGATATACTGCAAGATTGAAATCTGTGGAACGTGGCATAAAGGGGAAGCAATGAATATATTACAGGTAACGTTAACTGTTTATGTCCGGAATTATCATTCGTGTTTCTTATTACTGGCTTTATTCGAGATATTTTAAAGACGTTTGAGTGATACATTACTAACAAGGGAACATGCTGACGTCAGGCGATCTGTATGAAACTTTGGCAGAAAGTAGTTCATACGAGAACATTTGACACGTATTTTTTTTATCGGCCATCTTTCATATTGAAACATTCGAAGTTAGAAGTGAGAAACGTGTTTCAAAGAATATGGAAAACATCGAATGTCGACTGCTGGAGGTAGAAAATCGTTTTACATTGTGAAATTGTGTAGTTTTAATAGAAAATCCAGTTATGCGGTCAGAGTTCACAGAAATAGTTTAAATAATATATTATAATAAATATTTATTTAAATAGTTCATTATAATAAACATTTGTTTAAATGTTAAATTATTTTACAAAAATATACACACATGTAAAGACACGAATAAATTGAAATATTCGTATTTGCATTGTAAAAACTTGATTGTTTACCTTCATTAGTTGAAATGTATTTATTATTGTTTGTGGAAGTTTTCTTGTATTTTCTAATTATATTCTACGTACGTATATTACAGCTTGTGTTAAAATTGTGTCTTCGAAATTTTTGTAATTTTGGCAGTTTCCAAAATATTCGGCCAAATGTATCATTCATCTTTGAAAGCTATTTGCACTTTTCGGTATGAATGATGACCAATAAGAAATATACGTGTTAAATATACATATATTCTTGTAGGAACTATTAACTACCACACTTTTATAAGTATCAACACTCTATCAACTGATGCCATTTCAGTGTAATACATTGTAAATGTAAACATGTATCAACATATATATGCATATAATGACATTTATCATACTTGGTTCATAATAGTATTTTTATGATATTAGTACTTTAAAGTGCCTTTAAAATAAAATAAAAAATAAAGTACTTTTAAATTAAAGTACCTTTAAATAAAAATAGGGAATATAAAGGAGAGTTCAGATGCTGCTCAATGTATAGTAAATTTGATTTAGTTATATAATGATGAAACGGGTTAATTCCAGATTATAGATGGTCGTAATTATACGGGCCTGTGCGATTAGATTTCAAAGGAGTCCATATTCAAAGTCTGTGTAATTATGCGTGACTCATCGATCTCTGTGACTTGGAGTATCGAATGAGGATATATTTTATTAATGACTAAATTAAAGTTAGATAATATATTAGATAATATATTATCATGAACAATTCGAAATACACTTTTGGAGCCCAATGTGATCAGATACTTATATTATCATATAAAGTAAGGACTCACTCAGAAGGTTGTTTTAATTAATACATTTTTAAGAAAAATAACTATTATTTGTAAGTATTTTAATTATCGCAATGTATCGTTGTTTTTACACATTTAATAAATTTAAATATATAATAATTAGTAGTAAGTACTTTGAATTGATAAAAACATATCAATGGAAATAATTGTTGACGACAAAATAACGAAATAAATAACAAATTGTTGAAATTCATAACAAAATAAAGTAAATAAACATGTATTATAAATAAAAAATTCTCTTGAAAAGTAATATTGAATTTTATAAAAATTGAAGTTATTTTTAATCAAAACTGTTTTACAATATTAATAGGACATTTGCAGTACACCCACTTAATGTATTCATTTCTTATTTCTCCCTAAAACTCATAAAATAGTATAATACTCTTGATTATGCTCATTCATAATGAAAGATAGGTATACCTGTAACCATCATTTTCTCAACATTTTTTTTCTAATTGAATTTCTAAATTCTTATAACAACGATATGGGTATCTGAATTTAAATGGTATTTAACTTTGAAATATAAACAGATTGTTTCTAGTAATTATAGATTAAATAGTTAAAATGTATACGATTTGTTACTTTATAAAACTTTTACAGCATTCTTCTTGAGAACGATTGAATTTATGATTCCTTTGACGCTGTTAATTTTCCTAATAAATTTAATAATAATTCAATTCATGTTAATAACCCTTCACCGATTTAATGATTCGAAAAGAATTTCTTTTTTTTGTGTGAGAGTTTTACGTATCGAGTTCTTCGCATCGATCTCTCAGTCATTAACGACGGCAGGTTCTATTTGTTATATTTTACCGTACAATTTGATTTTCTTCAAGAATTCTGAGGTAACTGCTACGTGTTTTTCTGAAGTTAAAGCTGTGGATGATTCTATATCATACTTTTGTCTCATGATTTGAAATCTCTCGCATTCAAATAGAAAACGCTTAGTTGTTAATATCCGATTACATTGGTTACAAAGTGAAATAGTTTTTTTATGAGATATTTGCGGATGAATCATA